TATGAGGCTAGAAACATAAAATGCTAAAACCTAATGGCAACTCAATAATCATGAAGTACAACTCTCTTATTTCACAGAAAAAGAAGCTGAAGGCAGGAAGGTTAAGTGATTTGCCCAAGGTTATGAAGATACTTAGCATTTAGAACCTACACCTAACTCTTGATCTGTGATCTTTCCATTATACTAAACCACAGGGTTGGGTAATTATCACTGTTTATAAATAATTAAAATCATCATTAAATGTAAACTTTCATTCATTTGCACAATAACTACAGCTTTTATTAGAGTGCAAAGTCTCCTTGGAATTCCCAAGTAGACTGACATTTCTATAATATTTCCAGGTCCAGAAACAAAGTTCTCAATTTCAACCTATAAAAATGTCTAATTATAAGTTTATGCCATGAATAGGGATTTCAAGGAATTTAAATAGAACAAAATATATTTAGTACTAAAGCTACTTATGAATGTAAGATGAATGTTACTCAGCCTAGGTCCAATGATTCAGAGACACTTGCTCTGCCTTGAAGAATCATCTTTACAGATGCTAACACTGAACTATTAATTTATGGATTCACTGGCAAGTACAAATAAAAACAAAAATTGGCATATAAAGACCAAAATTGATTTTCCAAATTTCTAAGAATCATTAAATTTTTTTTTATTTTAAAAGTTAAGCATAGCTATATTTCTTTAAAAAGGCCTTATGAAATCTTACGAGGTAAAGACTACATTGATACATTAACATATTGGTAGCTAAATGGATGGCTACTTGTTTGTATTTTATATCTAAATTATTCTGGTAATAGAAATCAATTTTAAAACATAAAGACAAGCATGCTAAGATACTTACAAAGGTTCAGAAATCACTGTCTGGTTTTAAATATCTTAATGCCATCTCCAAATCATCTTTAAACATATAAAGAGCTCTATTCACCGTGTTTATGGATGTATGAAGCATAAAGAAAGCTTCCAAGATAAGGTGTTCCTATTACTGTCCACTTGTTTTACTAGTTACTACAAGCAGCCAAGCAAGTTACCACTTAGTAAGCAGATACTGTGTGCCAGGCATCACTGAGCACTGTGTAGATACCAACTTACTTAACCATCCCCCAGATAATATGAGATCAGGATAATATTATCAATATTATCAATATTATCCTGTTTGTCATATGAGGAACCTGAGGATCAAAGAGGTTAATGATTAGCTCAAGGTTGCATGGCAAATTGGTGTCTGTCTGTTCCAAAGCCCACACTTTTTACCTCTGGATAGTCCAAGGGGAATAACTAGTGCAGTGCATTACACTGCAGAGCATAATCTCTCCCCACATGGCACTGTCCTGGGATACTGAAAATGTTTCTAAAAATAACTCCTTTGATCACAGAGGCATCTGTCTGGTCTTTCTCCAGCTATCCCAAAGTCATTGTTTCTTACACTCAGCACCACATATCTAAAAGCCACTCCTGCTGCTTTTTTCTACAACTGGAGGTTTTTTCCTAAGCAAATCTGCTGTTCTGGGTGATTGCTCTGAAATCTCTATTCCTCATGAAATGATGCTGGCCATGAAAAAAAAAATAGCAATAACTTACATTTTCATTATAAACTAGAAAATGCTGCTAAATTCATGATCTTTTCTTTGATCATAGCAACCTTGTGAGGTAGATAGGGTAAATATTATTTCCATTTACCTGATGACAGACACTGAGTCTCAGACATGAGGTGTGGAACTTGCCAAAGGTCATAGAGATGAGATATGGTAGACCCAAGTCCTAAACATGGAATTCCTAATCCAATAATCTTTCTGTTATCCCTAACATCCTCCTACTGATGGCCCATGCCTACCTGAAATCCTCTGTAGAATAAGGATAAATAGATAATATCTCAACAAAGATAAGAAAAAGAATACGGTGATACCAGCCTACTCTGGTGGGCTTTGCTTAAAGTTGCCTCCCCCATATCCAACTCCCATTCCTTGGTAACTACCCATTTTACTCACTACCCATATGTTTGAGAGGAAACTAATCCCAAGTCTGCCTTCAGCGGTAGGTAGATTATTAATCAGCATAAGTCAAATATCTGGTTGGAGGTTTTGGTTAGGAGGGGGAATGTAACCTAATCCAGGCCAAAGAGAGTGAAGAAGATGTTTGCTGGAAACTCTTTTTTTTCCTCTTTTTAGTTTTTTCTTTTTTTTTATGCCACTAAAATAAAAACATTTTCACGAAGACAAAATTACTTAGGACACTTAACATCATCATTAAGAGTTTTGCAGTCCAGCGAGGTGGCAGATTGAATTAAGAGGAGTTGGGAATCAGGTATGATATTTCAGCAACTAATGACAAGAAGGCTGATGTCTTAGCTAAAGTTATTGTATAATTGACTCCAGTTGATGGCATCTAAGAGCTAAGAATATGATATGAGGGAGAAAAACTTGATAAAGTGTAAAGCACTGAAAAAATGCAAAGTGGTTCTATAAGAAAAAATTTATTCACTATTATTATCAGTTATTGGGGGTGTCAAAAAGCAGGCAATACATTTTTGTCCTTATTTACATATAACCGTAATGGGGTCAGATAAGAATCTCTAAGCACAAGACCATGATTATTATGCAAAATAACTTGGGGATTGGATAACTTAGGACTGCATTCTACTGAATAGTAACCTCAAGACAAAGGATTCCATGGTCAATAAAGTTTGAAGAATGTTTTCACCTGATTAGGATCTTTTTCTCCTTCTGGTACCATGTCCCAACGAAACTCCCACTCCATGTGGTTTATGTGATACTAACCCCACTTCACAGAACTTTGGTGGGCACAGGACATAAACCAGACAATTATCATATTCCATTTCCTTGAACTTAGTGATTCCTTAAGCAATAGGCAAGTGACCCCAGTCAGTCTAATGAGACACAGCCCTGGACTTGTGCTAGAACTGTCAGAGAAGAGGTACTTTCCTTCTACTGGCGGTGTTAATCTGTTTTTCTTAAGTGAGCCCAGAGCCATTTGCCACCTTAGAGGAGAGTTAACTAAGGGTGAAGTTAACTCAGAAACAAAAAAGAACTGAGAGATGAAGGCAGACACCTAAATTTTCTTTCAGCACTGGACCCAGCTGTGCCTGAAGTCCCTGACTTTTCCATTACATGAGCCTCCAATTTAGAGTACCATTCACAGGGAAGACTAAAAAGGCCAGGTCACAGCCACATTCTCCTCACTGCCCACTCAATTATAGACCACATCAAGACGGGCAAACTGCTGGACACCAACTGCCCTCACAGCTGTGTGCACTCTTCATTCATACACACAACCCCAGGGCCATTACCACAGAAGAATTTCTCAGTTCTATCAAACAACTCAACATTTTAGGTAGTTACACTTCTCCCCTCTTTTCTTTTATCTCAAAGGCTCAGCCTAGCCAACATACACATAGTAGGCTCTCAGGAAATGTTTGATGTCTGTTGAACAAATGGCCACAAGGCAACTGTTGAGAATTTCTCTCTGGAGAATGCATAGGTAGATTCTACCTTTAATTTTGTTATTCAGACTTTATTTTGGCTAAGTTAGTCAACAAATGACCGAGATCTATGACCTTCCTGAACAGCATCTGCCACTAGGCAGCACCCACTAAGTGTCAGCCATATAATTTTTGTTTTTAAAGTCTGGCTTCACACCATGTAGGATGGCTATTTAAAAAAAATAACAAGTGTTGGCAATGATGAGCAGACACTGGAACCTTTGGACATTGCTGGGAGGATTGTAAAATGGTAGAGCCAGTGTGGAAAAGAATATGACATTTTCTCAAAATATTAACCATGAAATAATCACATGATTCAGCCAACCCACTTTTAGGTATATACCCAAAAGAATTGAAAGCAGGATCTCAAAGAGGTATTTGTACCCCATGTGCACAGCAGCACCACCCACAATAGCTGAAGTGTGAAAGGAACTCAAGTGCCCAACAGCAGATAAATGGATTAACAAAATGTGCTATCTGCACATATTATTTAGTTTTAAAGGGAAGAAAATTCTGATACATGCTACAAACATGGATGAACCTTGAAAACATTATGGTGAGTAAAACAAGCCCATCGCAAAAGGACAAATACTGTATGATTACACTCATATGAGGTGCCTAAAGTAGTCAAATTCATAGAGACAGAAAGTAAAATGCTAATTACCAGGGACTAGGAGGGAAGGGTATGGAAAGTTTTTGTTCAATAGATACAGGGTTTCAGTTTGGGATGAAGTTCTAGAGATGGACAGTGGTGATGGTTGCACAATAATGTGACTCTAGTTAATGCCACTGAATTGTATCCTTAAACATGATTAAAAAGGTAAACTTTATGTTATGTGTATTCTACCACAATAAAATTGTTTTAAAATTAAGTCTTTTAGCTTTCCTATTGAGGCTGAAATAACATGCATTTTTTAAAAAATGCTTTTATATTTGCATCTTTTTCCATTTGTCCACATAAGTACCTCCTCAACAAAGGTCCTAAACTAGCCCTAGCCTAATCAGGGGAGGCCTTCGGCCACAGCAATTATTTCCATATTTCACATCACTGGTGGTTATTTAGCCATCAATCCTCCGACCCACACCAACATATACACAATATATATGATTTGAGATTCCTCTATCTTATAATTCACTTACCAGATATGAGGAAAAGGCCTAATTCTCAAAATATATTCAATGCTACTCCCTTGACTAGACACACTGCCTTTTCAAAGCAGAGGTCATGTCACCTTTCTGAGTAAGGCAAATATTCTATCATTGCTCTCTTTCACACTGACCCAATTTCTCTTGTTTGATGAGGATTCCCAACCAGCTAAAAGCATTAGCATATGACAGATGACCCAAGTTTTATGCAGAGTTTATTTAGTAAAGAATCAGGGATGACAAATCTACTTATAGAATTCAAAGGAGAGAGTGTAGTCCGAGGCTGCGGCTTCCCAGGTCGCGAGTCGCTTTTCGGGGAGCCGAGGCCCAAGCGGGGCCGGGCCTCTTGGCCGGGACTGAGGGGCCCCCGCCAGCCCGCGGCCGCGCCATCAGTTGTCGTCGCCTCGTCCCGCTTCTCTGCTGAGGCGCCGCGCGGCCGGGCAGCAGGTCCAGGCCTCAGCCGCGTGCCCAGGGGCCTCCGGGGCCCTCCCGGGTCAGCATGCCCGGGGTGAAGCTGACGACCCAGGCCTACTGCAAGATGGTGCTGCACGGCGCCAAGTAGCCGCACTGCGCCGTCAACGGGCTGCTGGTGGCAGAGAAGCAGAAGCCGCGTAAGGAGCACCTCCCCCTGGGCGGCCCGGGCGCGCACCACACCCTCTTCGTGGACTGCATCCCCCTCTTCCACGGCACCCTGGCCCTCGCCCCCATGCTGGAGGTGGCCCTCACCTTGATTGATTCTTGGTGCAAAGATCATAGCTATGTGATTGCTGGTTATTACCAAGCTAATGAGCGAGTAAAGGATGCCAGTCCAAATCAGGTTGCAGAGAAGGTGGCCTCCAGAATCGCCGAGGGCTTCAGTGACACTGAGCTCATCATGGTGGACAACACCAAGTTTACGATGGACTGCGTAGCGCCTGCGATCCACGTGTACGAGCACCATGAGAACAGATGGCGGTGCAGAGACCCACACCATGACTACTGTGAAGACTGGCCAGAGGCACAGAGGATCTCAGCGTTGCTCCTGGACAGCCGGTCCTACGAGACGCTCGTGGATTTCGATAACCACCTGGATGACATTCGGAATGACTGGACAAACCCAGAGATCAATAAAGCTGTTCTGCACCTGTGCTAGGCAGGCGTCACTGTGACTGGGCTCTGGGCATTTCCACTACATCGAAGGAGAAAACCTATTTTTAAATGTAAATAAAATCTCTTGTATCCTGTGTGGAAAGCTGACCATTTGAAGAAGTGGCATGTGCCTTGAAAGGGGGCAGAGTGTTGAGTCGGTCATGTTGATAACACAGAGTCTCTGGAGGAGGTGCAGACATCCCGTCTGACGGTCCCTGTGGACTCTTTCTCAGTTGTATGTTGCTATAATCCTCCAAATCAAAGCTCTTTCTGCTTGTGCAAGATTCTTCCTATTAAACAGTTTTAACTAACCTTTTATAATCTGGAGAGAATACTTTTTAAGGCTTTTCAGCTATCTTTTTTAGAAAAACAAAGCCCACATCTTATAAAAAAAAAAAAAAAAAAATTCAAAGGAGATGGGCATTTGCTTGTTAAACCAGCCATTGTCAGCATCCGTTCTGGACAAAACAATGACAGCCTTTAAGCTATTGTGGGATGGGATTAAGTTTGCCTCGTTTCCCATTATAGTTTAAAGTAGTTCCGATGATACCTTAATTGATACAAATGTTCCCAACATTAAACATAGTGAACAATAAAGCAAGGGTAGGGGGATTAGGGAATGGGGAGTGAGAAGGAAGCCATAGACATTGTTATTGCACTGTCATCGTCATTATCCTCACCACATCTTCAAATCAGAAGGTGGAGATCCCACAGTACATGCACAGAAGCACAAGACTGGAAATAGACCTTTGGATGAAGCAAGCCATTGCAATGATTTTGGGATGGTAAGAGCAAATGAAGCCATCCTTATTTTTTATAATTGCATAATCCATGAAATAAATGCCTCCTATTTAATCACCATTTTAATAGATAAAGCTCAAATGAATACCAATATATAAACATAGATTGAATCAAGAAAAAATTCAACATGTCTCCTCTACAATAACACAGGGTTTGGCTGCATGATTGAATGTGGAATCTGCAGGGTCAGACCTGGAAAACAGTGAGCTGGTGTCTGGTTCAGGACTGGGTCAAAGAGGCCAAGTCATGTTTCAAAATCTAGGAGTTTGCTAGAAATTCCTCCAAGCCACATGGTGAAGATGTCCTGGACCAAGCTGACCAAAGAGCTAGGGGTCAGATTCCAGAATGACTGGACAAGCTGAAGACAGATAGCTGCAGGGAGCAGCTGCTCAGGTGGAATGCCTGAATCCTCATAGCAGAGCATACTGGTTTTCACCTTCAGTCATTTTAAAAGCACTCTTGGTACCTGAAACAATAAGACTTAGGAAACCTTAACACAAGGATGATTAAACACTATAACATTTTATGCAAGGAGTAGGAGTGGGGCAGCCAAGCTTTGAACTCTCCCTTCCTGGGAATTCTGGAAGGAGACACCTTGGTTGATGATTTAGGTCTTCCCCAGCTGGGACCTCAGGAGTTAAAGACTGGAACTTAATTCCTGCCTCTAAATTGTCTCATCATTTTCATCTAATGTACTGGAACACTTTATAGAGTCTTTGGTCTTCTTAAGAGCTTTAAGAAATGAGTAAATAGAATAAAATACTCTCATTTTCTAAAAGTCATTGAATTAAATAGGACAAAGCTTATACACAGCAGGTGAATACATATCTTTAAAAGGCTGACAATAAAATAATCACTGCTTTACACGATGGTTGCTTACTCAGAGGGTAGTGATTTGCTTGTCCATCTCATAAAGGGAATTTGCTGCAGACATAATTGGTCCGCTACCAGTATAATCCATTATGCACTTGGTGGCAATCACATAGACTGTCGAGACTGGAGCAAGCTCACAAGCCCATTAGAGTGAGCATCGTTTCTTTTCCTCCAATTCTCTCTGTGCTTGTGGACATTTTTATTTTGTACTCAAAGCTGTTGCTGTGAGTGCTGCCTCAACAATGTGACCTTTCGTACATGCAAAGATGGCTAAAAAGACTACTCCTTGACCCGTGGTCATTTCTTCACTGTCTCTTGTAATGAGTCATTGGCTGGTGGCAATGGCCAGAAAATGAAGTTTGCTACAACTGAGGCTCGGGAACGCCGCCAGTGGGCCCAGGGACTCCTCTATTGAGCATCAGCTGTCACTCTTCTCACTGCTGCACTGAGTATGGCCACTCACCAGAACTACTCCCAGCCTGTCCCAGGAAAGCCACACAACCCTTGGCTGGTAGTGTTGAGTCAATGGAAGAGCTCTTGAAAGAAACCTGTTCCCATTCCCTCATTTTTGTGAAGAATAAATGGGGACTCAGCCAGGGAAGCTGCCATCGCTGAGCTCCCTCAAGTAGATATGAATATTCTTTGTGTTGTTAACAATAAGAAGATGGATATGAAGGGGACTAAAGAGGCTCAGCCATATCTTCTTATTGGATATGAGCTCTTTAGTCCCCTTCATATCCATCTTCTTATCGTTGACAACACAAAGAATAGTCATCAATATTGAATAGTGATAACCAGGCACTTTATGCATATTATTTCCAAACTTCACAATTCTACAGTCAGGCATTATAATGCCCTCTCAGAGGCTGGTACATCGAGCCTCAGAAAACCTGAATGATTTGCCAAATAACACGTCATTAATTCCTACTTGAGTTTGGATACAAACCTAGGTCAGTTTGACTCCCTGCTCCTTCCCACCACGATCTCAGCAGTATATGGAACAATTCTAGACCCTACCACTCTCAGGCTCCAGAGAAAGACTCCCCAACACCCATGCTAGCTGTGACTATCATATCCTCCCACAGCCCAGACAAGGTAACCTTCCAAGCATCTATCCCACTCTATACTGTGACATATGTCTCTTAATACATTGCAAAGTTTTTCCTAATGTTTATTATAGATTTTTCATTGTAGGTTTGGAATGCATGCTTTATCATATGTTTAGATTATTTACTTCAACCATTGCTCTTATGTCAGTATACAGAATCCTAGAGAGAGATGTTTTCATGAGGTTAAAAGGAATGGGGAGTGGAATCAACTTGTAGCATAATGGGAACTCATGTTCCTCAGTAGAAGGAAGAACATCTCTCCTCAGTGGAAGACTGGTATCTCATGTAGCAGTCACTATAGAATTTGGATGTTTCAGTTACTTGTCTGCACATGCCTAATACAGCAAAGCCAAATCTCAGGAATTTCAGTGTCAATGTGAACAAGTGGTCCATTCTCCAGAGCCAGTGCTGCCTTGCTCCCTTTCTTAGACTTCCTGGGAGATTCTAAATTTGCATTCTGGCATTGATCCTGATTTATTATCTATCTTGACCTTAGCACATTATATAAGCCCTCTGAGCCTCTGTTTCCTTGTATGTAAAGCAGGATAACATCAACCTGACAAGAATATTATAAGGACAAAATTATATAAATGTCTTAATACAGGGCCTAATACTTAGTAGGCCCTCAAGAAATGATAGTTTTCTTTCCTTCCCTTTTTCTCTGCCCCCTCTCCCCTGCAATTACCTTGACCATATTCCCTGAATGACCTATCTCTTTGGATGCCCCTGTTGTCACCAAAGTGACATTCTGCATTCCCTCTGCCATTTGCCTGCCTTTTCCCTGTGTATGATGAGAACTCAGGGAGGAAAATAGACTAATGGTGGTTCGTTGTCCTGGGAAACTTAGTTGGGTAAGATTAAGAGAAGAGTAATTGAGATGACAGAATCAAGGATTATTAGTAATGGGAAAAAAAGTTTTCTATATGGTAGAGACTTTTATGGTTTGCTTTACCTGATTCTACTCTCATTTCATGTAGAGGAAAGTATAATTCCTCTTTTCTTACCCCGTGATTGCAGTGGAGTCATGTGAGCCGTCCTGGCCCGTGAGTTGTGGGCAATAGTGATGTGCATCATTTCCATCACAGAGCATTTAATTGCTGGTGCAAGGTTCTTCAGCCCTGGTTTTGCCCCCTAAGGTGAACTCTGAAGTGTTATGTTGAAATAAGACATTATAAAATGGTATTGAGTGACTACATAAAGTGGAGCCCACAGTGACCGACAGTGGGTACGTAATGTGAACAGTAAATAAACTTGTGTTATTTCAAACCACTGAAAGCTTGAGGGTGTATATTACCACAGAATAACCTATTGACTATCACAGTCCAAGCACTGACTTTCATGCTGTATCAACACAGAATAACCTATAGAATAAAGCTGCCTAAGCTTTGGCTTTCATGTTGTGGCCCCTTGAAAAGGGGTGGGCTTTTGGCCCTAGTAAGCAAGATATTTTACAGATCTTTTGGGAAGGAACACCCAGACTGGGAGACAGATCTGTAAACTGTGAGTTTTAGCTCTGGCTCATCTACCAACTAAGAGGTTCTCAGACATACTATTTCTGTATTGTTCATGACCATATCCCAAGTGTCTAGAATATGTTGAATTAATGAATCAATACTTCCACATTCCAATTGTTGGAACAAGAAAACTAACTGAGGTTAGTCAAACCTTCTGAATGCCAACTTTTCTCATCTTTAAAATAAGAGCTAGTATCTCTCAAAATATGGAAAATATATCATCAAAGGAACTTGCTACTCAAAGATCCTTGCTACTCAAATGGTAGTCAAAGAATCAGCAGCATCATTGTCACTGGGATTGTGCTAGAAATGCGTCCCATCCTAGTCCTACTGAATCTCATTATGCATTTTTAACAAGATGATTTCTATGCACATTAGAGTTAGAGAAATATTCATCTGCACGGTACTGGGGCTCAACTTTAAGTGGCCTGTAATCACATAGTGGCAAGGTTAGCCCTTTTCCACTTATCATTCAGTCTTTTGGGTTACTTTATGGAGAAAGTCTCAGTTTGATGTCAATGCCTTTAACACCTCACTAACAGCTGCTAATTTCCCTTTTAACAAGGAGAAAGCAAGCCTTAGGTTCCTGGGCAGGCTAAAGTATTTTTCTTGACCGTAACAGCATTGTTTTATTTTCATTGTGGTTGTTTAAATGGTTGCCTTTTATTTATGACAACTAATATCAGTTTTCTACTTGAAGTAGTGATGAAAACCTCTTTAAAATAAATTAATTTAGAAAAGTGAATGTATTTAAAGGAAAGAAACACATAATAAATGGGAAGAATTGTTTGCTTTAACGATTCCTTCCATGTCAAGGAACTCCATTGGTTTGACAATCCTGTCCTGTGTCTTGTCTCCACAGTTTCACTGATTAGGCAACTTTATTTACCCTGCATAGGGTAGGGGTGGGGAAAGTGCTATATTCGATTGTAAATTTAGGAATAAAATGAGCATCCTCCTTATATCTAAATTTACTCATAATTTGCTTATAAATTTCCAGTCCAATTGGTAGGATCCTAGCAGCAGGTCGTTTGTCTAACTGATCTTTACGGTGTGCCTGTGATATGCTCGGTTCTGGCTGTGTGTCTTATTTTCTGTCTTCCTGCTGTTCAAAGGTACTGCTCCCTTTGGAAAGCTTCAGACCAGCCTCTAGCCAGGCTATCACAGTGTCTTTGGTTTCTCAGCTTCTGATCCTGCTCACAGGCAAGAGTCAGGGGCACTGATGAGCTTGGGGTCCTTCTAGAAGAAAGCATCAGGTACTCATTTTCATGAATCATGAGACAAAAACAGAGAATCGTTTTTAAGGCATCTGGCCAATTCCCTCATGGCCTAACCACCATTGTTCAAGCAGGACCGTCATGAGGGATTTTAGTGATTACCCTTTTAATGACCCTGTTTTGGCAAAAGGCCCTAGATAAGAGTGCTCTGCTGCTTCCCTGGAGAGTGATCGCTTTTGTCTCTGGGCCCCACATTTGCTTATGTTAGTTCTCTACCACTTAACTAAAGTGGTGCCCCCTTACTCTTCATTATATTGCTCTGATGTATTTCCATCATGATACTTATCTCCACTGCTTTGTTTACTTGTTTATGGTCTGAACCCCTGCTCTAGACTGTAAGCTCAAGGAGAGCAGAACAACTTCTGTATTGTTCGTGGCTGTATCCTAAGTGTCTAGAATAGGTTGAGGACATGAATCAACATTCCAATTGTTGGAACAAGAAAACAAGGATATGTACTTTAAAGATCTAGTTAGTAGTCATTTTGTAATATCATTGTTGAACTCTGGAACTGAGATGTTCACCAGTTGTTGCTGCCGTGCATAACAATTAAATATTTGTCTACTGCATTTCTATTTCTTTGTTTATTAATGTTCTACTTACAGCTGGAAAGTGTTTGCAGTGGCTTATGATAAAGTCAACAGTCATCATCCAAAAGACAGGAACTTATAAGTAAGGGAGGACCCAAGGGAAACCTTTACACGAAATCATTGCTAAGGTATAACTTTCTACTGCAATCTATGCAAGATCTGTTTCCTAAGCTTTCTTTTCTGCCCTTCACGGGGTAAAGTTGCCTTGGACATTTAAAAATGCTTTGAAAAATATATATATTCAGAGTCCTAGAGCAGTTTCTGGTGAAATTGTCCAAAATTTTTTGATTTAGATGGTACTAGGACTCAACATTAACGTTAATTTTCAGAAAATTTCAAAATTTCTGAAATTTATACTTGTCCAGGTAACTGTTCATAAAGGCATCATGGCCAAATTAAATTATTTCATGCTTAGTTTTCCCTTTCTCATGTTTCTTGATGACAATACAGAGATAGGTAGGAGTCAGAAGCAGCATTTTACCTAGCCCAGACAATTTTTGCAGTGGTATATGTAGAAGCATGGTTGACACTTTCTGGTCTTTTAGTCTCTCTAAATATAAAGATGTCCAGATTGGCAATTTCCAAAGAATATTAAAGGGAAGTACAACAGGAAATAGGATTGGAATCTGCTTAAGGTTGGGGGTTCCAGGAGCTCCAAATTTGTGGGAGAATTTCATTAAGTTTAGTGGCAGTGGATTAGAAACACATATCATTATTCAAGCTGCTGATGAATGTCTGGAATTTGCTCCTAGAATTTGAATATTTTTTCTTTGAAATCAAAGCCATTTTGAATTACCAACTCAAGTCAATTTTACCTAGCAAAGGCAGAAAAGTATAAACCCTGTTGTCCTGAAATGTAGGCACAAATTTCTGTCAGATAGTAAATATTCATAACCATTGTGATTGTGTCTAGTGTTCTAAAGATAAAAGGCCAGAGGAAATTTATCACAGAAAAGAGTGCAACAAAGAACACAGTTCTCCAATAATTACATCCCCTGAATTACAAGCATACAGGCAGACTTAGAGAAACATACCAACATTTTAGTAGCTGCCTATTCCACAACAAATCCCATCTTCCCATCTTACCACCCTCATAATTCAATTGGACTAGAATAAACTCAGGGTTTTCCTCAGTCCATAATATTAATAGCTCGTATTTGTTTACTCTTTACCTTTTACAATGACATCTCATGCACTATCCCATCTAAACATTACAACTATCTTATATAGAAGGCAGATAGACATTCCTTTACCATTCTGAAGATGAGAGTCTGAGAATTTAAGTGATTTGGGAAAGATTGTATAAGTAGCTGGCAGCATCTGCACTAAGATTTCTGATTTTTTAACTTTACACTTTTTCTACAATGTCTCACAGCTTCTTGGTGATCACAGGAGGTCTAACATATCCTGCAGAACTACTCAGAAGCTTAAAATATGGGGACATTATCAGGCCTACATGCTCATCAAAGGCAATAATGGGCTTGACGTAGGTGGACTTAACCAAGACTGTCCTGGCAATGATCAATCAACTTTCTGAGAAGAGCCTAGGGCAGACCCACAACCTAGAGCTAGATTTGAACTGCCCCACCCTAGAGAAGGAGTGTCAGTCAGCCAGTATTCTCCCCAGAAACAAGCCCAGTGAATTTATTTACAAGGGTAGGGGACTTACATTTTGTTACCTCCCATGTGTTTCGAGGGATTGGGCCAAAGTGCAAGAATTTATGTAGGTAACTTTCATCCAAATCAATCTACTCAATGCTTGTTAAATAATTCATTCAGTGATGTGGCCAAGCATGCCTGGGTTGGTCCCATCCAGTCCCAATCCTTTTGGGACATAACTTGGCTCTGGGACACTCATCTGAAAGAAGCCAATATAAAATATAAGCCTTATCTCTCTCTTGTCTCCATTTAGTACTTGTCTAGCCTGACCACAAAGATGCCTCCTACCATGTTTAAAAAGATGCTCTCACTGTTTTCGCACACATCACATCTTTCTTGTTTTATGAAATTTATTTTAACAGAGTTGGGGAAGAAGAATTCTCTTTTATTGAGCCCGCAAATATGTGTCCAACACTAGGCTAGGCAATTCTAAGAACATGATGATTTCTTATTCTCATGACAATGCTGCAAGCTGGTTATTTCACAGACGAGAGAAGAAAAGCTAGAAAGTTAAACGCTCCAAGGTCATACAGACTGGAATTCTAGTGGATCTTCAAATCTCTAGTTCATGACCTTTGCACCCACAAGATGTTGTGAACCCAAAGATAAGCTTAGCCTACTTGAGCTTTGGAGAAGGAGCTGGGTCTTGTTTTCTTTAGGAGGAGAGGAGAAATCAACCTCTTTCTTTTTCTTTCCAGTAAGGCTGAGGGATGTGGAAGTTTAAGAGCAACAAAGTCTCCGCAGAGGATGAGGGAAGCTTCCAGAGGGCAGGAAGGAGGTCTGGACAGCCCAGTCTAGCAGGGGTGGAGCTGCTGCAGATGCCTTCCCAACAAACAGACAGTGCGGAGTCCTGCTGGTCCCTGTTTTCCCAGGGCAGAGAACTAACTGCCCCTATTTCCGGCCCCTCAGCCTCCCGGCAGCCTGAGATAAGGCACTGGAGGTCGCACCTGGAGGCTCAAGCCAGCGGGGACCTAGGAGTGGCAGACACAGGGGAGGGCGGAGGGGGGGCATGTGGGAGGTGGTCTGGTGCCAGACTTGGACTCAGTATGTAAGGGGTTGGGCAGCCCACGTGACTCCAAAGAGGCGGAGACAGGCGAGCTGGAGGGAGGACGAGCAGGCGCCAGGAGGGGTTGGTGGGGGGGCGCCATCTGAATAATTGAGGAGCTGTTCTGCTCAGCAGCAGCGGCTGCCTACTGCCTTCCTCTGCCGCCACCACCACCTCCCATCCCAGCTGGAGAGACAGCCCCGCGCTGTAAGTGCGGACGGCCAGCCACCAGCCTCGGCAGCTAGCCGGTCGCCTCCAGCCCCCAAGCCGGTGAGTGAACGGCCGCCTTCGCCGCAGTTTGTCTCTCTCCGCGACCCCAGCGCCCCAGCGGGACCCCTGCAACTGGGATGGTCGCCTCTCCGGGATAACTCAGGGAGCCGGAGTCCCCGGGAGCGGGGGACCATGAATATGGCGCGGAGGCCGAGGGTGCCCTCCGGGAAGGGGTTCCCTGGAAGAGCGGAGGAGCTGGGTCAGGCTCTTTCCGGCTCTGGCCTGGAATGAGGCCCGGACGGCCCGCGGTCTGGGGGCACCGGGCTCTGCCTAGCGGGAGCTGCCGGGCGGGGCGGGGGCCAGCGCGGGAGGCAGAGGGGGAGCCGCGAGCTGCGTCCGGTCAGCCCGGGTCTCGGCAGATGCCGGGCCCGTCCTGTCCCCCGCCTTGGCGCGCATCCTGCACGGGCAGCTCCGTTCTCCGCCTCGGACTGAGCCCATGAAGCCGAGATGCTTTTCCGGCTGCAGTCCGTGGGGAGGTCAGGAGCAACGTCTGCCCTTTTACCTGGCAGCAAACTCCTCAAAGGGACTCCCGCCGAGCCCGGCGCCCAGACCAGGCCGGTGGCGCCCCGAGGGGGCGTCTGTCCCTGGAGAGCGGTGACTCGCCCGGGGGCGGCGAGCAGGACGTGATGGGCGCGATGTCCAGGGAAGGGAAGCTCCCTGCCCAGAACCGGCAGCCCCAGCAAGGGGAGCTCTCCTGCACTGCTTCATCCCTCAGTCTCCTCTTCTTCCCCCACCCCAATGCACACCGGCTCCCCTCGAATCCTAGAGGGCCAGGCTAGGGCAGCGTGGTAACGCTGGATGCAGCCCCCACCCTCCTTCTCTCTCCTGTGTCACCCCGCCCCCTCCCCAAATGAGTATTTTATATTACGATTGAAGAGTGAGCAAAGCAAAGGCTGAGAAGAGATGCCGAAGGCTAGAGCAGCAGGGCTTGCGCCTGTTCCTGGCACTCCTCATCCCCCCACCTGTGTGAGGCTCCCTTCCTTGAGGTTTTGAGCGGAAAGACTCACAGGAACTGGCTCTGGCGAAGGGATCCTCGCCTGAGTGTCGGGGGATGTCACTGGCCGGAGTTGCCCAAGGGCCGCAGGATGACAACCTGCCTCCCCATAAGGTACAGGGTATAGGAGAGCGCCGGGGGCAAGGTAGCTCTCGGCCTGGGACTGAGCACAGGGGATGGCGCTGTCTGCGGTGCTGAAAGTTCTCGGAGGCTGGCTGCTAATACTGCCGGGGCCCGCATTCCCTGCAAGCAGAAACTGCGTTAGAACCACGTAAAAGGTTCTAAGCAAGTGACCTAGAAAAGCAAGTAAAGGGGCTTTGCCTTTCCCGGCTTTCTGCTTCCCCGGGTTTCCGCTTGGGAAAAGGTTCCTGGCTTTTCTGGGTGGAAGAGGAGGAAGCGGGTGACACTTCAGGATCCAGCTTTGCTAACTTTGGGAGCTTCCTCGTTCTACTTCCTATACCTGAGCAGTGAGTCTTCCTGTCGGTAGAGTGTTGAAGCGCAGCCAAGGATGCTCTTTTGATAATAAACATTTCTGTGGCCTTCAAGAATCAGAATTGCTAGGCTACACAAAGGAAGGGGGTTCATGGTTATAGCTTTTTCCTCTTCTTAGAACCCTTCTTACCCCACCTCATGTTATTTACATGCTCATAAAGATCGCTAAGTAGCCCTGTGTGTTTGTTTCTTTAGCTGTCTTTTATGGGTAAGATGGGGGAAAGGATTGAGCAAATTTGGAGAGGCCTAGTTTGTACTGAGCACCTCTATCTGCTGGGTAATAATATTTCATTTAAACTTCACAATAGCTGCTAACCATTAGTAACACACAGAGAAGGAAACTGAAACTTGATTCCAGAGATTGGATTCAAAATCAGATCTGTTTAACTCAAAGTCCAAGCCATTTTCATGTCTTCATTTTGGTACTTGGCTCTGAATAGCTGTTCTTGGGGATTCTAGCAGGAGAATGACAAAGGAGGGAGGCCTGCTCTTCTCTTTCACACACTCTCCTCTCTTCCAACCCTTTTCTCTTTAGTGCATTCACCCACTCACTGTCACGCACTCCCACCCTCCCAACTGCTTTTGCATGCTGCTTGAGATACCACTGTTCACACAACTTCAGCTCCAAAACTATGGAAACAAGTTACAGAACTAAATCAGCAGGCTTTTCTAAAAGAGTAGCAGGGCTTCAGGAAGTCTGAAGAACTAGAGTTCACAGGCACTTTCATATTTAGAATTATACTATTGAATTTTATGACTAGAATAGCTTTGAATATCATTTAGCACCATTGCTTTACAAGAAAGAAAACCACTAGTCTAAGTCACATGTTGGAAAAATTAGAACTCAGTTAACTTGATTCCAGGGCCAGGGCCTTTCCCACTATTTCATGGTGTCTGAAATACTCTTCCATACTGCCTTCTTTGATTACCTTTGACAAAACATCAGCATCAGTCAACTATATTAAAGAATATACCAAAAATACTAACACTTAACATACAAGCATTCCTCTTACCTTTCTTCCAGCTCCTTCTTCATCCAGCTCTTTCCCCTCTGGTTCTACTAGTCCAGTGTTGTCTAACCTAACATACCTGGGAGACATGACAAACCTTTCTCAGTAAGAGTTTTCTCTGTAGCAGCAATTCACAAATGGGTATGGTGGTGTGGCATTTCTTTACTTGCCCTATGTTGTCTATATCTCCTCTTCTATGCCCTATTCCTAAAAAAAAAAAAAAAAATTCCCAAAATGGGTTACCCCAAGGAGCTGCCAATGTTCTCACAGTGACTTGGAAAAGGCCCTAATAAGACATAAGATTTTTATAGATAAAGATCATTGTAAGTGCTAATATCTATGAAATGCTTACCATATGTGAGGCACTATGCTAAGTTATTTCATCAATCATTTTACTGAATCATCACAATTCTGTCAAGTAGGTAGCTCCATTAAGGATGATCCTAGAGTTCTAGTTCACCTTAACATGTTCTGTTCATTTCCTCTTTCTTCTCATTCCAGCTCATAGTAAATTAGATTTTGATATTAAATTGATAGTTCCATTCTGCCTCAAAATATAGCATTTAGAAATTCAAATTCAACTCAAATGGCACTGTTTTGCTCTCTCATCTCTTAATATTTACCAAACATATTCTCCCCATTTGTTATCCCTTATTTAAAAATTCCCTTATGCCTTCTTATTGATAATGCCAACATTCTGCTTCAGACCTTTTCTAGAGCCAATTAAGGTATAATTTGTAATTAAATACATAACTTATATTGTACCTTCACTAGGTGATCTGACAAGAATGTTATTGCTGATGTGCTCTGGGCCCTGTGAACCAGAACCTTAAACTGTCTGGAACTATTCTGTCCAACATGGTAGTTCCTAGCCACATGTAGCTATTTATATTTAAATTTTAATTAATCTCTTAAAAATTAAAAAGTTAGTCTCTCAGTCACACTAGCCATATTTCAAGTGCTCAATAACTCTATATGGCTAATGACTACCATATTGGACAGAGCAGATATCAGAAAATTTTTATCATTTAAGAAAATTCTGTTGTAATGCTGCTGTAAACAGTACTAAAAACACCCTCACAGCAACCAAGCACTAAGAACCAGGAGGAAGTAAGGACCTACTCTTCTTTGAAGCCTCTGCCAAGAAAAGCAGAAAAAGCCACTTATTCCTAATACATCACCAGCAGCCCAAAGATACCTAGGACAATTAGGCTACCAAGGAGTGTGTGCATCTTACATAAGGAGCTGGTAGTCTCTGGAATTTGCCTCATGTGAATTCTATGTTATTATAAAGTAAAATATTCCATGAATGAGGTTTACTGGTTTCCTGAATTTCAACTTAGATATAATCTGAAAGTGTATGTTTATCTTGTCTTAGTAATCATAGTATGACAAACATGGAAATAATATAAGAGTTGGAGTCAGTAGCATAGGTGCCACTTACTACTTGGTGACATTATGAGACCCTCTAGAGCTCCATTTCTTCATCTGTAAAATGTTGATGAGAATTGCCGTAACTATCTCATAGGACTATGGTGAAACTTAAAGTGTAGGTATATGAAAGTACTTTATAAGGAGAATGACTGAATCTGCAGTGGTTTATTATTTTATATAGATATGGTACAGTCAATGTACAAATAGGGTAGTTGAGGCTGAATACATTTCTGAATGATTGTAATCCTGATATGACTGTATTTTTGCCTTTGTTGTCATTTATTTCACTGAAAAGTGGAATGGTGAAGAAAAAGATTGGTTATTGAAATTTCTGGTTAGCTAGGTTCTATTAACTGGTAATAGGAGTTTAGAAATAACAAGAAAGCAAGCATTATAGATATTCCTCAGTATGAGTGGGTGAGAGGGATAATTTTAAAAATATATTCTTACTAATTACAAATTGAAATGAGCGTCTATCCATTCTCATAAATCAGTTGGAACAAGAATAATTCTATTTTATGCATCGATTAAGCCAAATTAAAAGTGAAGGTCATTAACTTGACTGAATTATTGAGTTTGCATTAGGGATCCTAACCTTAAATAATAAGTCTTTATTCATTCTCTAAGTTAAAATCTCTTGGGGTCATTAGGAGACCCTTATGCATCTAGCTAACATTTACTCCCAAACCTGGCATCTATTATCTACTCCTGCACTTTGATCCATGTATGCTATTTATGACTCCAGTAAAAGTGCTTTTCAGATGCAGCCATACGTTCTATAATGGCTCACCATTGTGAAACTTAAATATTTTTCTCTTATAACACAAAGATTAACACAGTGCTTAGACATTGGAGAAAATAAGCCTGGAAATGAAGCTATTCCATCAGATGATTCTTCATTATATTTATTAGGTTGTTATCATCTTGAAAACTCTATGAAATCACTTTATTTATTCATTCATTCATTAACAAAGCACCTGAGAGTCAAGCTGAGTATGACTAAGGGCGTTAGATTCTATCTCCAGTTCCAGAAATCTAGTTTACTTTTGTTAAAAGTTAACAAAGTTATA